TCTGTAATTACTCGCCAGCAGAATGAATTATTCTGTGTGAGGGAAAACCACAATTGAATTACCATGATCTTAGCAGCCCTGCAGTGTGTTTGTGTTGTCTTAGTCATCACAAAGGAAAACTTAGGTCTGTGAACTGAGTTGTTTTATTTTGTATGTAGGGCTTTACAGTCTTTGCTCTATGTACAAAGCACTGTCCCATTGTGTATATATTTGTCATTGCCAGCAATACTCTCCAGAAACCCCACGGTGTGCAGAGGTAGTGGAGTCACTAGAGAATACTTTGTTTTCCCTTGTTACATTTGGCTATTCCTGCTATCTCAGTAAATTTAAGAAACAGTTGAGTTGCCTTTTAACTACAATACAAAGAAAAATTTTAATATAAATAAATAGCTCTCCCTTAGCTGAAACTGTAATGTTGTCCAGTGCTGCTAAGGCATCCATAAAATCACTAAAGTACCTGCAGATGCCTGATGTTTCTTGCTTGTGAGAAAGTGTGTATGTTACTTAATCTTTTGCATATTTATATAAGACTGGAAAATACAAACTTCAGTGGCACCTGTGCAGCTGTTTTTAAAAGCATCCATATAAACCCAGGCTGTGTCCTTGTACTGCAGGTGTAAGTGTTAAGTTTTAGAGGAGCAACAATGCCTGTAAAAACTCTGGTTGTTTCGGTGCAGCTATGAGTGTATGCCCACTTTGGAACCCTGTTATACTGCTGGTGTGCTTTAGAGAAATGCTGGTTGGGAAAGGAAGCAAGGCCTTAATCTTCCCATTAAGTGAGCACAGCTGTTACAGCTGTCTGTGCATGCAGGAATACCTGTCAGAGTCAGTGTAAATTCTGTGGTGTAATTCTGGGGCAGAGTTTGACAAGCATTTCTTTCTGCAGCAATGCCGTTTCTGATGCTGCCTGTCCTGGTGTTCTCACTTGTGCTGCTGGAACTGTTCACATGGCAATTGAGTGGCTTAGATCAGAGAACTTGATTCAGGTGAAAAATAGTCCAATGTGAAGTTTTTTCCTCCATTTTTTCTACTCTCTTATATAGTGTGTTGCCTAATTTTGGCAATGTAAGGGAAACTGTGGTGAGAGAACAGAAACGAACCTGAATTAGGCTGGCACTGCCTCTGAAAGAACCAGTTGTGGAAACAAATTGAGTAAGATTCCTCTAAGTTATAAAAGTGATGGTAATTTTTTGAGTTTTATTTCCCATGATCTGTGATATCATCCAGAACTGCAGTCAGTCCACCTTCTGCTTTACTCAGTGCTGGGAAGTCACTTGGGTACTGTGATGATGTGAGGAATGAGTGACTATCAATGCTATCCACATCGTGCTGGAGCTCTTATCTCCTAAAACCTCATCTAGATCTTGACAGGTGGCTTGAGATTCCGACACCCAACGTATGTGAAGCGGATGAAGGAAGGGAAGTCATATATCCGAATGATCTCACTATTTAAACAAATTTTGTGGAAGAAAGCATGTAACTTCATCTTTACTTTATGAAAACGCCCCTGACTTGAGTATGTGCTCAGTGTAAGGTGCTCTTTCTGAGTTCTGTGTGATCCTTCTGTGTTGTACTCCTAGAAAATATTAGTACATTGCTTTACAACAGATACCAGAGTGGTTGAGCTTGTGCCCTCTATGATGGTTTTGGTGGGCCTGCTGCCTTTCCTGCTGTGACCTTGATGGGACTGGGTTGTTAGGACAGTGCATTTGCTTAAAGATAGACTTGTGGGTCCTTAACGGCAAGGAACAATTCTTGGCTGATGGAGGCAGCTATTAAGGGCAGCGTACAAAGTCCAAGAGATCAAACTTTCCACACTATCTATATCTCCGTGGGTGCTTAGGCTAGTGCCCCACATATACAAGAATAACCCACAAATACTGGAGAGGACAGCAATATTAGTCCTCACAACCAAAGGAGGTGTTTCTAAAAGTAGATACTCAATTCATGGTAGGCAAAAGATTGAACTCTTCCTAGGTACAAATCCTGCAGCTGTGTGTCATGTTCATTTTAGTGCCGAATTGAGGCTTTCTTGACCTATGTTCAGTGTAATTAAAAACAAATTCCTCAAATTCAAGAACTGTTTGGAAGGGATTCTGTAATGCTAGGGCAGTGTGTATAGACATGTTCTCATGCCTGCCCTAATTGCATAGATTTGGTTGTAGGAGCTGCTGGACTCCAGCACTTCACTTCCATTGACTGGTCACAGCCTACAAATCCTGGAGTTTCTTAACACCATGAGGACTAGAAATGACTTAAAGGAAATAATAGTGCATCTTCACTGTGAATGCATTATGCACAATTTTATTACAGTTATATTAAAATAACTTGAGATGCATTTTGCTTTATTTACACTGTTTTCAGGCTGTTTTCCTTTTGCCTAAATAAAACCCTTTTGATGCTCTTGCTTGTCTGGCTGGCTGTAAACCAGGTATTTAAACAAAAATAAAGAGTTGCCAGTTTTGCCAGCTGGGGATGAGAACCCGGCTGGTGATATGCGGGTTTGGGAGGCAGTTAATCCAGCTTTTATGCTTTTTTATGATTTTATATAAAAAGAGGTTAAAAATCACATTTGGCTCTTTCTTTGTACCACTGTTTTGTTGCTGTTGTGGGAATGCAGCAAAAGGTTGTTCATACTTTTTATTATTATTAGGTAAAGTCCTGCATAAATTACGTGAAGGCACAAATACAATTTTCTTTAGCTATTGCCCATGTGGCTTGCCTTGTTCAGAGAACGATATGTTTTATTTTCCCGTTGCCTTCTTTTATAAATCACAAATGCAAACCACACCTCAACTTACTTGTAAAAAGAATCTACCATTATCTCATAATTTTATATATTTTGCTAGCTTCAAAAGAAAGGAGTAGCTAACTTTACAGATAAGAGAAATGGTAACAGTGCTAATAGATATAGTAGAAAAATACATAATGCTTTTATTTTGTGGTAGAAAAAACAGTGATTTAAAGACAAGCGTCACAGATTTTGTATACAGTTTTTCAGCAAATAGCTTGCAATATGCTCAAACTCATAAAACATTTAATTAATTTTAAAATGTGGGAGTTATTTTAGTTAGTTTTGTCATATGTACTTATTCAGATAATTTGTTGAATTTTACACTTTCCAAAATTTCACCCTCTATTTGGAAATATCAATGATGTAAGGAGTCTGTTTGTTTTGGCACAGTTGTAAATAGTATGTGTTAATGTGTTAATATTTATGATTTTTTTTAATCTTATATACAGAAGAGGGATTTTTAATATACTTCTTTTCATTGTGTTTCTGCTACTAATCCTTAAGGACAGCGAAAACTAGGAGCATGAATTACTGTGGGATTTCCAAAATTGCCATACTGGATCAGACTGCGTGTTGTTTCTGCTAATAGCATACACCAGATACTTCAGGGCAGGGTTGGATTTACTGAAGGAGAAAAAAGAGAGGCAAATAAATGAGCTCAACAACCCTCATTAGGGCTGGCTGGGGTAGTGCGTGTGTCCTGTGTGTTGCCATGGCCACTTAGTGTCCCCAGGTAGGTGAGGACTGTGTCTGCCCTTGCTTCAGAGGAAATTATTACACATGTTAGGCAATCACAAGATAATGTACTCGTGGATAAAAGTTATTTCTGATCTTTTAGATGTCGCTGTATTTGTTAAAGCCTGAAGGCCTTACATATTCCCAGATTTTCACTACCTTGTATCTAAAGGGCTGTTCCTGTATGCTTACAGTTTGAATCTGGATGAGCTCTTTGTGATGGCGATTGCATGTCTGTTGTAAAAAGTATTTAGTTTTCTGTGAATTAGTTTATTGTTGGTTGGGGTTCTTTTTAAATCAGTCACATGGTGCTGCCTTTCAGAATCTGCCTTCAAGTGATACAGTAATAATTCTATATAAATAATTATTTAATTCTTTATAAATATAGTTCTACTGTATTAGTTGCATTTCTTTGAGCTTTCTACCTGTTTATTATTTAAGTCTAATTTCTTGTTTTAAGGTTTTTTAATAGATCTTTTTGTAGGAAATATTGGCAACTTGACATGTACAGTCATAGCGCCTTCTGTTTTAATGTTTATTAACTTCTAACAGTTTCATCTTTTTTGAATGAACGGGCATGATCTACTAGAAATTCACAGAAATTGGAATTATATATTCAGTAGCCTTCATTTTCCTTATTGCTTATGGTTTTGTTATGTGTGTATGCTGCTCTTATGTTGTCTCCATTTCTCCAGTTTAATATGAAGGTGTATTAAGGTTAAGACACACTGCTTAGATTCCTTATTCCAGTTCTCTGGGGCTGCTGGCAGAAGGGTTGTTTTTAGGTGCACGACATTGGAGGCATTATGTTAACAAATGATATCAACTTTATCACATCTCCATGCTTATGTCTTATAAGCATAGTATCATAGTAAACATGGTATCGTATAAACATTGTTGTATTTTTTTGCACTGGCGCAGTTCAGCTGTTATGACTGTTATGGAATACAAGGGAACTGTTGGGAGAAAAGCATTGAGGACTTTTAATATAAACGAAGATCATAAAGAAACTAAACTTGTCTCAGTAAGATTAAGGTGGTACTAAATTGAAGACTTTGGACACGTGGGGTAAGAAAGAGCACGTGACCGAGCAAAGAGGTGCTTCACCACATCTAACTGATGCATTAGTACCTGTGGATAGCGTCTCTTTCTAAAGCTGTATATGATGTGAATGGGATGGTAGAGGACACAGGAAAGGGGAAAATGCTGTCAAGACCATTTTGAGCAAGTCATTCTCAATTTTTTAGTTTGCTTTTAGCAGTGCAGTCCGTGGTATGCCTGAAATTTCAGTGAGCTCAGGTGTGTGAGTCAGTGCTGCAGTTGCAAGTACTGAGTTAGGTTCTGGGAGTCCTTGTAGCACACTGAAAATAAAGTCTCAGAAACCCATTGGTATAGAGTGTCATCGAACAGACTGAAACGATTGTGTATGAAATCGTGTATGTCTTACGGATGCTTTTGGTTTCTATCTCAGGTATTAGAAGATAATGACTATGGTCGTGCAGTGGACTGGTGGGGATTAGGAGTTGTCATGTATGAAATGATGTGTGGAAGATTACCGTTCTACAACCAAGATCATGAGAAACTATTTGAACTGATACTAATGGAGGACATAAAATTTCCTCGAACTCTGTCTGCAGATGCAAAATCATTATTATCAGGTCTACTGATAAAGGATCCAAATAAGCGGTAAGTGAAATTAATTGGGTATACAGGCATAATAAATACTCTAATTGCACTGGGTAATGTAAAAATAGGCCAGTGGTGCCTGGTCTTTCTGACTGAAGGATCTGTCAATCACAGGAGAGGGCCATATGCAGCCATACAGTCTCAGATTTCCACTTTTTCAATGCAGCAGTAATTTACAAAATGCAGGAGAAACTTTTTTAATCATTCACCGCAAATACAGGGGTCTTTTTAGGTTTAGAATGTGTACTGGAACAAAGTGAAAGCTCTCACTTGTTCTTCCCAGTAGGACTTAACCCTAAGTTGACTGTGGTGTCTTGTGGGGACTACAGCACTTGTTCTTCCCGATCATGGCAGGAGACATGTATAGACAGCCACAGCTATATTAGGGCACTTAAATAAATTACATGTTAGATCATGTAAACTCGTAACTCGTTAAAGAATGCAATTTCTGAGTGAAATTTAAATAGAGCGGTTTGAAAGCAAGTATCACCCAGCTGCTGTCTGTGCCCTTTTGTGATGGCCTTTTCCCTCAGATTGTTGCCTAGGAGAGCCATTTTCCAGTGGCTCCAGCACTGGACCAGCAGTGTCTAGTCCTCTGTGGTTCTAAAACAAATCTCTGCCGTGGTAAATCAGTGGGATTTGTTTGTAGGTACCTTTTTTTCCCCAATATCTGTCATTCTTGTGAGTCTCATGGCATACTTTCGGGCTGCAGACATTGTCTGCCTCTCTTCTCTATTGTCTGTCTCTCTTCTCTAGTCCTCCTTCATCCTCTGGTCCTTCTCAAGAAGTTTTCAGTAGTGAGCATTGCCTGCAGGTGCTCCAGGCAGGACTGGTTGTCATGTCTTTTCAAGGGATTTGTCTGGATGCAACCAAGTGCTACAGCCAGGACAGCACAAGTGGTCGGCCTCCCTGCTCTAACTGAATTTGCTGTATGCAGCACAAACAAACTGTGACCAATCAGCAAAATACATGGAGAGTAGAGTAAAACTGTGTTTCTGTAGCAACTCCTAATGCATTTTAACCTCCAAACAATCTGACCCATCAAATATATTAACCTTTAGAATTGAAAAGATGCTTCCTTGTGATTAATCTTTGCAGACAGGAGTGTTTATTACAAACTTACGTTTGCAAGCTTACTTGTATTCAAGTGCTAGCTAATGCTAAATAGGGTGGGAGCACAGAGTAACATCAACTCAGCTTTCTTTGTGAGCAACTAGAAAGGAAGATATTGAGAGAAGTCTGGAGACTGCAGGCTAAATGCCATGCTTTCCCAAGATGTAGAGAATTTTACAATGAGTAGTTGAGAAACAAGGAGGAATACAACTTGGAAATTAGAATAACTTTACACTCAGTTATTGCAAGAGTGACATAGTAGTCCAGAATATTTTAGTAATTTGGCAGCAGGGTAATACCAATACAGATGTTTTTTCTTGGTTGTGGAAATTATTCCTTCTGACAATAAATGCTTTAGAGAGGAATTTATCTTACTTAAATGGTTCTTTTAAAATTTGTCTTTATATCTTTAGCAGTTCCTTTTAATGAAACACAAACTGTGTGTGTCACTCTTCTTGTCAATATTTAACACATATGTTCTGCGTGTTCAGTTAAGATTAGCTTTTTTTCTCTGCTGCAGCTTCCTTCTGTTATGGCAGTAGGATAGCCAGCCTCAGGGAGAAGTTAGATGAGAGCTGAGAAGTCCTAAAAGTTGACTTCTCTGCTGAAAAGGGCAGATGGTCCTATGACTGGATGTGTGGTTCTTTCTTCACCCACAGTAGCAGCTCAAGGAAGCTCACTAAACTCATTTAGTCAAACTGGACTTGCTAATGCAACAAAAAATGGTCAGTTCTCCTCTTCTCTCTCTCTTCTCTCTCTCTCTCTCTCCTTTCTCTCTTCTCTCTCCTCTCTTCTCTTGTCTCATCTCTCTGTTCTCATTGTGGGGTTACTTCCAGGTTAGTGAGCTGACTCTGCTCAGAGTCATCAAGTGGGATTGATGCTATAGATGTAAGTGAGAGAGGAGAGGTATGGACAGGGCTGGGACCCTCCTCTTTTGGCAGCAGGTGGCTACTTCTGTAGCTCAAATCGCCTTGGGGAAGTTCACCCAAAGTAGGTGAAATTAACTTCCTAGGATGATTTAACAGACAGAGTCTGGCTTTGGCAAGCTACAGGCCACAGTGAATAGTGTGGTTATTTACAATGGCCTTTAAATAACCTTCTCAGCAGGCCTACAATTTATTAATTTATACTAATTGACTCAGATTGAGACTATTTTATGGTAATTGGTTAATTGTTACAGCACCCAGATGCAACAGCAGTGAACACTGTACAAAAATGATGTGCGAGTCATTACTGATTCAGTGCCTGGCACCTCCTTGGCAAAATTTTATTTCAGCATTATTGGGTTGGTTTGGGTTTTTAATAGTTAGCCAGAATGTTAGTTGGTGTTTCAAGCAAACTAAACTTAAGTATGTTTTTAAAATTAATGAATTACTAAAAGAGCTCATCATGGACAGTAACAAACACTGTAGTTGGAATAATCAAGTAGAATAGACCATGGCATGGATACTTCTGCTATCACAATTTCTCTAGAGATCATTGGAACTCATATTAAACAGGTGAAAATTACATATTAAATGGGTGAAAATTGTTCCCAGATAGTAAAAAAGAAATGGTCATTTTTCCAACCATAACAATAACTTGATCTCACTATAAAAATAATGCTTGTTTAATATGTGTTTTTTTCCCTCACACTCTTTAGACTTGGTGGAGGCCCAGATGATGCAAAAGAAATCATGCGTCATAGTTTCTTTGCTGGAGTAAACTGGCAAGACGTATATGATAAAAAGGTATGTCATTATTATATTTATATGACATTGAATAATCTGGCTTCTGCAAGGTAGTTTCAACTGATAGTCGTAGGACTACTGTTCTCTGGAGTTAGTAATTTTTTTCTTTGCAAATTTTTTTTGTTAATACAAATGAATAATTATTCTGAACAAGGTGTGCTTACTTAATCTTTGGGTTTTCAGTAATAATATGTCAGTTCACCAGAAATAAATTTTGCAAACCAACCTAAACTCAGCAAAGATTTTTCTTCTATTATGTAAATATCCAAATTTTTTCCTTTCCTTTTTTTTTTCCGGGGCCTTCAAGAGAAAAGTAGGTGTATGAGTCAAGATAATGTGAAAAATGTAATATAAGTTTATCCTGAACTGTATTTCTATTTCTTCCCTTTATTGAAAAGTTGTTTTATGGAAAAGGGAGATTAAGGGATTGGAGGGGACTCATAGCAAAAATCTACTTTCTAATTGTTTGTGTATAAATAGAAACCTTTTTGAAACTTATTTTTAAACAAAATATCTAAGAAAATTAAAATAGCGTTAAAACACTGAGCCAAAACAGCTTGTGAAGAAAAAAGTGAGTGCTGGGAATTCAATTGAAACAGCTTTCTCTAAACCCAGTCCTGTTCCTGTAATGATCAACACTTTGGGAATGATTTTAGAAAATGAATTTATCTCAGTAGTGAAACTCAATTCCATGGAAGTTGTTTTATATACAGAAACTGATTTTATCTTAGTATTTCTGTAAGAATTTACTTGTTGCTATAAACCCCTTCTATTTTGATAAAGACTTCTCTTTTTTCCCCCCAACTGTTTTACATTGCCAGTTGAGCTGTGTAATTTTAAAAGATAGGTTTTTTCTACTTTTTTTGCTTTGTTCAAATAAAAGGAAAATGGAAGACATACGACTGAGCAGAATATGTTTATGCTACAATGTCAGTGATACAAACTGTTTTTTCAGTTGTTGTTGAACTGGAATTTTAAAATGTGTGGTTGTTGGTGTGGTACTTCTCTGACAAATACCGGAATTGAAATAGAAGCCTCTATATGATGATACAAAATATGGTACTCTGAAGTTACTTGATACAAGTGTGATTTTTCCCTGGCAGTATCACAAGGTTTCAGGAAACTTTACACTAAATAATCATAGCAAGTATATTAATCAGGTTACTTTACGAGCTCAACCACTAGTTGGTTATGTAAGGACACTGTAGAGAAGCACTCTGAGGATACAATCTAAAAATACAACTTGAGGACCTTTCTAGAGTAAAAAAAATCCCAGTCAATTGGATTGCAATGTTCTAGGAGTGGGTGAGAGAAAAAAAAGCTGTTACATTATTCTTATTCTCTTGAAAAAGATTTCCTAATTATCTTGCATTAGAAATAGAACTTTCAATTCTACACTGTGTTCAGCATCATATTTAGTTAAGAATATATAGATACTCTTAATTACATGCACTTTGATCCTTTCCAAATAAACATGGCAAATGTCTTTCAGCCAAGATCTTTTTCTAAGCTATTAAAATAAAAGGAGGCATTTTGCAGAGTTACATATAAAAATATATAAATGCTGGCACTTCGCTTTTATGATCATGGAAGTGTATATGGCTTATTGGGTTATTATAATTGGAGAAATTGTAGTCCATCTTTGTTTGTTCTGGCCACCGTTGCTTTGAGAAACCAAATTTGCTAGTAAAAAAATTATTTGAATTTCCTCAGTTGAACAGTTAACTTCAAGGATCATAAGAATTGTTTTTGTGCAGTATTGGCACACAGTGTGTTCTTTATGGAAAGATAACTCATGTAAATGAGTTCTGACAGTATGTTTTTCTGTTTAATTAAAAAATAGTTTTGTTCCTATTTGTTCCTTACAAAGCCATTTGTCTGGCTGATTAAAATATCCAGTTGTTCCATCTGTACACACAGTCTTACAGGTTCTGAAGTATGCAGGGTGTAAGACTGTGCTCTGAAATACAAACCACAAAGATAATAACACTTAATGAACTTTCATTGAGTATGTTTATTGGAATGCTTGTATGAATATTCTTGAGGTATTTTGGTATTCTTAAATAACTCAGAGCATTAAAAAAGTGATTTTCAAACACGTTTATTCTATGCTTGCTTCTGTTTCTGTTTTTTGTTAGTAGTAGAGTCTTCAGCAGTAGAGTCACTTGATGAAATTGATAGTGGATATAATGATTTGCACAGTAAAAATATTTCAGAGTAATTTTGCCTAAGTTTTATGCACCATGACACTGTAATTTTCTGGCTGCATTTCAGGAGCGTGTTTCTGTTAGCAATGAAAGAACGGAAGTTCACTTTCGGAGTAATGGAAACAAAAAAATCATGTGTATTGCAAGTAGTTGTGATAGTTTGTACGTGTTCACACTGTGCTTGTGTGCCTCTAATTTTATCATTTTTACAGAGATTAGGTGCATCTCTGTACTTACTAGGTTATCACTTTACTGGTGTGGTTAAAGCCAGAATTATGTATCTGTAAACTATTTCATGTATTTCATGTGACAGTAGCTCTGTCAGGTCAAATGGATCCAAATGGTCAAATGGAATTATTAGCTTTCTGATACTGCTAACTAGTTAACCTAATTTGGTACTACACAATGATAAAAAAATACTGTATGGCACACTGGAGCAGAGAAAGATCGTTGCCTTTAAATGAAAAATGTATAATAGTTAGCATTTGTGATCTGATGTATTTATTTTTGGCAGAAAAACCATGAGGGCATATGAAAGAGAGCAGCCTGTGCCAGGTTCTTCCTGTGATCATCTCAGCCCTGATGAGTTTTTATCTCTGTGCCTGAGTATAAGAAATTGAATAGTTTGGCAAACTCTGAAGACTTCAAAAGCCCACATACTTCAAAAAATATTTGTTTTATTTTTAGCTGGAATCAGGAAGCTTTTGAAATGTCTCTGTTTCTCATTTAAGAGTTGTATTAGAGTATTTTTATTTGGGTTGCAGAAATATTCTTAAGTTGTCAGATGTTCTGTTTAGGGTCTTTCACTGAACAAAAACCACATGGGCATTAATTAAAAGGTAGAAATTTGGGTATGTCTTCAGGCTTGAAGCACTCAAATAGCCTCATGGCAAGGGATGTCCAGACCTTTTAGCAAGGCCTGTTTTTTCTCCTGCACATAATATAGATGAAAGAAGAAAGAAACTACATGGAAATTTGGGCTGAGATAGATAGATAGATATATAGATATATATATATATATGTCGTCTTCTGATTTGTGGTAATACCTCTGATTGTTCCTGAAGCAAATTAGGGAGTGCTAACAAATTAATTTGTTAGTACTGGGAAGGGAATAGGGACAAGTGGCAGTAATGGTGAAGGCTGAGATGCCTGACTTTGCTGCAGGTGCAGTGCTTGTGCAGGCTCCTGTCTTAGTGTGAAGGCAGTGACTTTCAGCATGGTCTGACAGCTGCAAGAAGCTGTTCCTTACCCTTCAGCTGTGACTACCTTTGTTTTCCTCAAGACACAAAACCAGTAGATGATGAAATCCCGTGACTGAAGCCCTGGGTTCAGGCCTGGCAAAATCTAAAACATAACTGTGATCTTAAATGCACATTTAAATACTTCTGTGTGTCAGATTTTGAAGGGAAGGGGCAGGAGGGAAATAGGAAAATACCAACATTTGGGATTAGGCTGTTACTATTTGAGTCATACTATTTTTGTACAATTATCTGCACTGCAACAAAACCTGCAGAAATTACCCTCGTTAGTTGCTTTTGTGTTGTTGCCAAGCGAAGTAGTAAAAAGATCAGAAAACTGCTAACCAGTCTGATCTTTTCATTGTGTTACCACTGATACTTTAAACTATATGGGCAGACCTAGAGGTTGATTACCACCCTTCCCCCAGCTGCTTGAATTTACAGGGAGGAAAATATACATAAGGGTGTCTGATTCTTAAACTTACGTTGCTGTAGTCCTGGGGGTTTGTGGTTTCTCTCTGTCTGTGATAACAGCATTGTATCACTTGGAAAACAGCTTATCCATGGGTGAACCTCCCTGCTGAAGCCTGTTTTCCTGTGGATTTGTGTGGTGTCTCCTCCCACCACTGAAATCCCAGCTCTTCCTCCTCCGCCTGCCTAGGACCACTTCATGCAGGGTCCGTGGGGTATTTCTTGCTCCCGGCTGTGCTCCGGCTGCTGGCTGGGCAGCAGGCTGCCTGCTTTGGGGCCAGGTATGGGGATGAACCAGTTCCTACAGGAATGCTTATGGATTGGTGTGGCAGTTTGAGCCACATTAGAAATCTAAAAATCCAATTTTCAGGCTCTTCCACCCCCTCCCACAATTATCCCAACACTACTGAAGAGAAACTTTCAGGCCAGAGGCTTCTATAGGGGAAGGGGAAGTATATACATTTATTTACACAAATAAATACTATACAAGCTAAAGACAACTATATATATATATTACATCTCCATCAATCAGTCCTTTTAAGCTTTCTCCCTCAATTCAGTCCAGGAAAAAAACTCTTCAGGCTGATAGATACCCAGTCTCTCTCTCGTGGGAGTGTTCGAGGAACCTGAACACTCCCCCACCAACCTCCAGCTGTTTGTTGAAGTCTCTCCTCCTCCTGAAGTCCAGGAAGATAGCTTTGAGTCCTTGCTCTCCTGCTGCAGTGTGATCTCTCTCTCTCTCTCATACTTTGGTTCGTAGGCTGCTGCAGTGTGGTTCTGCTCATTAAGTGTCCACGTCCTGGCATGTGGATTTCTCCTCAGGTTTTCGGTTGTCCTGCGTGGCAGAGACATCCTCCGGGCCCCTTCTCCCTCTCTCTGGGCGGGGTCCGTCTCAAATTTCGCTTGCGACTCTTTCTCCCGAGTGCCGGGCCTACCTCCACGGCACTCAGCTTGGCTCAGCTTCAATGCTGAGCCTCTCCTCCACTTTCCAGCGGAGGGACAGAAAAGCCCCCTTCCACAGCTTAGCTGTAGAAAAGGAGGGAGGAGAGAGCTTAGCTGCAAAAGCCTGGCTCTCTCCTCTTAC